TACATTTTTTATTTAAAAAAAATGTACTTAAGATTAAAAAAGATAGTTCTCATTTTGTCTTGTGATACAGTACCTACTGACTTTATTTCATTATTAAAATATTTAATATACTGAAATTTTCATATACAACAGATCACAACAAAGATATGCAAACTCATCCCAAAGAGACATAGTTACCCAACCAGCCAAACCAGACTGAATTGATTAAATTTTATGAATCTAAAAAAATGTGTCTGGCTTGGGCAGCTGTGGTTGTTAAGATTAAGAGATGCAGGAGTCATTTTAGTACCAGTGAAGGAGAGGAAATTGTATTCATCTAATCATGGGCAACTGTTTTTACCAGACAGTGACACTCTGGTCTCTGCATTAGTCCCTGTGAACATGTAAAATGGGAGCTGTCTTACTGATGAAAATCAGGCTCTACACTTGGACAAGGCTGAATTAACTGAAGTAATGGGTACCACTTAAATAAGGCCTCTTGGGAGACTGTTTGATGCCTCTCCACCCCTAGCATTAGTGTGGCCTTTCGCTTTAAAGCATATTTTTCTTGTCACTATCATTTTTCTGAAGGGTAGAATACTGTCTCCCAGGTGCACCTCTTCTGGGGGAGCCTTCACAAATTCTCTTAGAGGAGCACTTTCCCTTATCTGGGTTCTAGCACCCCACTGATATTTTCATCTTGCAATGTTGTGAAATGAAGTACATGTAGCTCTCTTTCCCCTACCGTACCACAAAGTCAAGGCTCTCGTATGCACCTTCTGTCTTGGGCCTAGGACACAACAGGGCTCAGCAAAGACTTTCTCACTGAGCATGTTGCAAACTCAACACAGAATCTTTTAATAATACGAGGTACATTATAGATCCAGATCTGAGAAAAATGTGTTTTAACATAGCCTTTCCAAGCAGTGCAGTGACTAACTACAGATTCTGAATACAACTGGCATGCGTGTTACTGGTTGAATCTAGGGCCCTGAAGCAGAGGTATATTCCCACCCCTTTAAAAAATATTTAAAAAAAAATCTTTTTGTATCAGGAATTGAACTCAGGACCTTGCACTTGCCAGGCAGGCATTTATACTGCTAAGCTATATTATCTCCAGCCCCTATTTTTAAAATTTTGAGACAGGATCTCACTGAATTGTCCATGTTAGGCTTAAACTTCCAATCCTCCTGCCTCAGCCTCCCGGTACTGGGACTGCAAGCATGCGTCACATCCCACAAGCCTGATTTTGAATCCTAGCTCTAGCACTTTTTAGATTGTAGCTTTGGGTAAATTGCTTTACTGTACCTCACCTTTCTTATCTGTAAACTGGTACAGTATCTTTAGGTTGCAGAAATTAAATGAATCATATACATAAGTTGCTTTAAATGGTAAAAACCACATAGGTAAGTGCCATAGTTCTATGCATAATTCACAAGAACTGAATCGAATTCAATGGTTAGGTTCAATGTTGACCTTATAGAGAAATTTGATTTGGCTCACATTCAGTTGTCTGCCACCAGAACTGTGGAGAGAAATGAGTTTGTGAACTAAGGTCCAACTATGTGTTAGTCAGCAATTATTATTATTTTAAAACAATCTTTACACCAAATAGGACAATCCATGAGACAAGTATGGAAAGACAGGGTATATATTAAATAAAACTCACAAAACAGAAAGATTTAGAAGTTATCTACTACTTCAGTGGTTCTCAAAGGGAGGTTCCCAGACCAGTTATCACCCAGAATTGCTAGAAATGTGAATTCTTGGGTTCCCCTGGAGATCTACTGAATCAAAATTAAAGCCATGGGGCTGGGGAGATGGCTCAGTGGAATAAGCACTTCCCTGGCAAGCACAAGGGCTTGAGTTCAATCCCTGGTTCCCCCCACCAAAAAAAAAAAAAAAAATTAAAGCCTTGTAATTATGATTCAGCTCTTACTTCATGCTTCATTTTTTTTTTAATGCTGAAATGTTTCCATTTACAAAAGTAGAAAAGATATTAGCAGTGCAAGAAAGTGGTTCCTCATTTAAAAAAAAAATTAATGAATAAAGGAATGGGAATATACTTCTACTTCAAGGCCCTAGATTCAGCCAGTAATATAAATGCCAGTTGTTTCCAGAATCTGTATTTAGTCATTCCACTGCTGGGAAAGGCTATGCTAAAATACATATGTAGGGGCCAGGGAGATAGCTCAGTAGAATAAGCGCTTGCCTGGCAAGTACAAGGGTCTGAGTTCAATCCCCAGTTCTGCCAAAACAAACAAACAAACAAACAAACAAACAAACCCCCCAAACATACACATATGCTCTGGGGGTGGGACTCAGTGATCTGAATTTTAAGAAGCTTTCTAGATGATCCTGATGTTCGCTAAATTTTAAGAACTACTCCTTTCCTCCCATCAAGTACATCTATTCAGACCCTAAAACTTAATTCTACATCATTCATTCTCAAGCTCTTCCCTCCTCTTGGGCTTCAGTCACAGCCATACTTTAGATTCTTAGCATCTCAAGTGGATGACTGCAGCAGCCCTCTGCCTATCAGGTTTGCTCCTAGAGCAACCAACACAGCACCACTGAGGGCCTCTTTCTCACAAATACACAGCAACAACTCACTCGTCTGCCCACAAACCTAACCTCTGGTCACTGAGCTACTCTGAACTCAATTCTACGAGTTGGGTGTGAAGATATTTATTAGGTGAGGAACACGAAGTTTAGGGAGGCTAAAAACTTTCCCAAAGTAGACTTTACATCACTTTTTCAAAAAGGGATTCAATCCTAGGAATAGATGACCTTATTAGATCACTGTGCCTCCAAGACTCCATGTCAACAGATGCAGACAAAGCCACGTTTTAGGCAATGTCTGTATGTGTATATATTTCCTAACTCTCCTTCACAAAAACAGGACAAAATTTAAAAAAAAAATGAGACTTGACTGCACATTTACTCCTCCTTGTACAGTATGGGCATAATTAGTGGACTGAAAAACTCCAGTGCAAATTGGACATATGGGTACGATGCTTTATTATTGAAGTTTATGTAACTTTCATAATTACAACCTACAATTTAGAAGGTTGAAAAGTAAAGAGAAAATTCTATAAAGAGAGCCCAAATAAAGCTGAACTGGTACACAGAAGATGGTTAGAACTTTCTAAGTAAAGCCACTGAGCTTTTATCAATACACATCTGGCCTTTTCAAGAGCAGGCCCTGAGGCCAGGGTCAACAACATAAAATATCACAAAGGAGTCTTAAGACATTCATCCTATACAAGCAAGC